CTAGGGACATGTAAGACAGAGGATAAAGTAATTTCATTAGTCACTCTAACAGTCCCTTTCCTAGCAATGGGATTATGAGAACCATCTATTGTAGAAACTCTATATTCTCTACTAGAGCCCAACTGGTAAGAACTAAAAAGGGTAGGTATATTGGTCATGTGCTCAGATGCTCCTGAGTCTATAATCCAGGGAGGTCTCTCCTTACCTGAAGTGGATGTATGATTTGCAACCGCATATGAACTACCTACATGAGCAAAGGAAATAGTGTGATTGGCTCCTGCACTGTGTTGTCCGTCTGAAGAACTAGAACTAGTTAAATCCTTCTTACTCATAAGCTGTCCATACTTCTCCAATTCAGTTCTCAATGCTGTCGCTGCAATGGACTCCAAATCAACTTGGGAAAGGGGTCCCGAAGAGTCCTATAATTGCCACATTTGCATTTTCCTTCTTGTTCTTAACCCGAGCTGGTATGAGATGAGGGTAAAGCTTCCAACAAGTGTCTCTAGTATGCTTTGTCTTCTTGCAGTAGTTACACACCAAGTCCTTGTCCTCCCTCTTGTCTCCATTTGGCTTAGATTTAACTATACTAATCATAGTTGACTGACCTATCCCAGACTGTCTCAACATGACATTCCTCCTGCTCTCCTCTCCAGAGACAAAGGCATAAGCTTGAGAAAGAGTCACACTTTTCTCTAGAAATGAGGTGTTGCCTAGCAATGTCGAATTCAGGGTTCAACTTAGCCAAGAACTCAAAAACCCTATTCTTTTCTACCAACCCCTGATAGGTTGTTGCATCCTTCATACTCTCCCAAACCACAGTTTCTAAGTGGCCTATCTCCTGCCAAAGAGTTTTCAACGTGGAGAAAATACATGGAAAGAGGTCCATCTCCCTATTTTGTACTAATCGCCTGATTCCTTAACTAATAGGCTCTAGTTACATTTTGTTTCTGGGAATAAGTTTCAGTCACTCCATCCTAAATCTCCTTTGCAATATTAGCTCACAAGAAATTTTTACCAATATGAGGTAACATAGAGTTACACAGCTAGGTCATCACCATGTAATTCTCTTGTACCCACTAGGAAGGATCTATATCAGGTTTCTTCTCCTCCCCAGTGATGTACCCTAGTTTCCCACGAGCACCAATGGCCATCTTGGCTGATTGTGCCCATTCTAGGTAATTTGTACCATCAAATTTCACTGTAGTAATGATTCCAGACCCAAAATATCACTACTACCTCCAACACCTAGACCCATGTTACCAATGGACTTCTGTTCGGTACTCCAACTCTCCATTTAACTTCAAACAGCTCCTAACCAGGAAATAACCAATTAGAAAGCCTCCAAGATCAAGTCGGTCTCACACACAAGGGTAACATACCTTTCCAGAAGAAGAAACCCCTATCCAGAGAGAAATCTCTGTCCTCCCACTATCTTCCACCGGAGAGAAATATGAATTGGTCACTCTAGAGGGCTAAAAAATTCCCAGAAATCTAACCGCCCCCTATAGAATACCTAGAGAAGTCCAACGATACCTGAGCGCCCAAGATTAGATCAAAATTGAAGAGTTCAACTTGACTAGGACTCTTCCCCACATTCCAGTTCTTCTTGATTTTGATACCAAAACATAGATCACCCTCCTGATGACTAGAAAACACCAAAAAAATCCAAGAACTGGGCAATTTGAAGTAGATCGATCAGCCCTTTATCTCCTCATGCAATCGACTGATCTAGGATTACATGGAAGAACTCCAAGAAACCCTAGCCGAGTTCTGATACCAAGTAGAAGATTGCTGAAATAAAAATCTGTAAAAGAAAAAATAATATTTCTTGAAGGAAAGAGAGAAGAAAGAGAAGAGAAGAGGTTTGAGAGAAAAGAGAGCAATAATTCTGGCCGCCCTCTTCACTATTATTTATAGTTTAAAATAATGAGCACAAAGACCAATATGCCCTTATAGGGCGGTTAACACAAAACACTTAAAATAACTGCTCAAAAAGGACTCAACAAGAGTGTTGTGGTCCCCACTCCCTATCTAAACAATAAATAATAAAAAACTACCACTGCAAACTGCACAAAACTGCCTAAAACCTCAACAAATGTAAATATGTATATTATAATATATATAATAATATTATATATTGTATATTATATTATATTATATACATATATTTCTGTATATAATATTATATATATCATTTACCACCTTTTGGTCCAACCTGACCAAACTGAGAAATTGACTCTTCATGTTTGGGTTGGTTTTCATTTATGGTCAGTTGGTTTCAACTCAGGTGGCCAATTTCTCAATCCAACCAGGTCGGTTTGGTTGGCCAAACAGCTTGCAACCAACCCATGTACAGCCCTAACTGTGGATGCTATCATGAAAGCTATATGTAATACCAGAACAAGTAAGGATAATAAAAATCAAACCAGTAAGGATTGAAAAAGTAATTATGGCAATCCATCTTGGCCATAAGTAACCCACAGGCAAGGGGACTTCTACAATAGCTGAACTGTTAGTGGTGTTACAAGGATGAGGCTGGGAAGACTATTCAGCTTTAGTTCTTTGACAGAGGAAGGTGATTCCAAGGTGGCAAGGAACATGGCAAATTAGGGCTCGTTTTTTTTTTTTTTTTTTGGGGGGGGGGGTGGATAATTCTGAGAATGCTTTGTAAAAAGTTAAAAGAAAGGTGTAGGTGACAGATATTAGCCCACATTGTGGGAATGCTTGTCNTTGTGGGAATGCTTGTCATTCTTGTATGTATATTTTTTTTTTTTTTTTGGGGGGGGGGGGTGGATAATTCTGAGAATGCTTTGTAAAAAGTTAAAAGAAAGGTGTAGGTGACAGATATTAGCCCACATTGTGGGAATGCTTGTCATTCTTGTATGTATATTATTCTTTTATTCATATCTAATCATCAGTTACCAATAAAAAACAATTGTAACAGCAGAAGAAATTTGGATTTTAACCATAATGCTAAGCTGCTCCTCAGGATCGACATTTTAAGCCAGCCCCACAGCATCTAGGCCATCCAATTGTGCTTCAGGGCTTCTCGGCTGACAAGTGCAAAACTGCGAATAAAGACCCTCAAGACCACCATATCATGACTCCATAAATAAGAAAAGAAACTAATGTCAACTTGTCATACATTTTTGGACACTTAGCTATTATTAAACATTTCATTTGGGCGTAATACCTTATATTTCACTCACTAACTTCCATTTGTGCTCTTTGAAATCCTCACTGGTCGATCGCTTTGTCTGAATCTGCCTTCCATTTCAATATATGTTGTAATAGAGGCATTACCAAAATTAAATAATATCAATATTACAGTACAGTGTATGTATGTATCTTATTTTGCTTGAGGAATAACAAATCCATTATGTTTGCTATCATTATAGAGTGGAAGAGACCTGGGGCAAAATCCTATAGACTCTCTGAATCTTTTGTGTGACCTCAAACTGCTTAATTGAATTAGTGAGATGATAATGCGCCATGCTATGCTACCCAAATATGGCGAGGACTGCTGGCATGATATGGCACAAATGTACAGGCATGTGGATATTATAGGTTCCACAGAAGGTGGACTTGAAAGGAAGGCGGCTTTGGCCTTTGATCTTGAACGCCACTGCCCAAGGAACTTGACATCAAAGGAATAAATGCACATTTGAAGGGAAGGATACCTCAATTGTGACAAATCCTCTAGATTTGTAGACTTGTTTAGACTAAAAGAAACATGAATTTGCAAATTTTGTCTATCTCAAAACATTCCCCTATGCAAACAAGACATTGATGCATGAATTGTATAATGATGTTTAGAGACCATTTAACTCAGAATCTCCAGCTACAGAAACAATCATCCATGCTATTTTAGATGTGAAGTTATGGGTATTGTCGTATCTAGGCTTAAGGACCTATCATAGAAATCAACTAAATAATCAGTAATAAAACCTATCCAAGTAGTAAATACTAAATGAAAATGAGAAGCCATTCTATGGGATATGGCCAAATTAAAGTTTCAGGCAGAATTGGGTGATAGTATTAAGTGTTCAGTAGTACAATATCTTTTTCCTTAACATTAATCTCTCTGAGTAGAATGGCAGGCAAAACGAAAAAAAAAAAATAATAATAATAATAATAATTAAGGGAGCTGGATTGTTGAGTTATAAGGTAGAGACAAAAGAAAACATACTTTTATAAAAGTAAACTAAAAATACAAAATATACCAATATAAGCCCTAAGAAGCAAAGAGCAAGCATGCAATATTAATCATTTCCATTTAACAGTGAAATAGAGAAAAGTTCTTACACTCATGTTGGCATTCCAAAATTTTTTAGAATATTTCCTATGTGATAGCAGGAAAATTAAGAATTTATTGGATATCAGCTTTTACCTAAAAAATGGCATTGATTGATGGCGTCAAGCCATAACAACTAAATTGAATGGAATGAAGCGAAAAAAAAAAAAAAAAAAAAAACTAAATTGAATGGAGACCAACAATAATAGATAATAGAAGCAATATAAACACAGAACTTATGGAAGCTCAGAAACATAGAAATTAGGTTTTGAGCCGAAATTGCTCAGTTGATTGAAATGCATCTTGGCGAGTTCGTAGATTTAATCCCGGATTATACACCAGAAAGGTAGCATAGTAACCGGGGAAATTAAACCGACTTGTGAAATGAACTAACCAATTAGATTGAGTTTTCAGGACTATGGAAAGGATAATCTGGTGAACGATGATTAACATTCATTTCTGAATCATGAATAATAATTGGAAACTGATGTATAATACCTCCATACACAATTTATCTACTTATCTAGGCAAAATTCTAAATCTTATCCTTACAGCAATGAGAATGAATGCAAGTTAGAAAAGTAGAAAGAAATGGGGTTATAAGCAACATTCTGGTTATCTGCAAGCAAGTTTTATATATCAAACAAGCATCAATAGATCATTTCATAAAAACAATAACAATTAAGAGAGAGAGAGAGAGAGTTGCCTGTAATGGTTGAAACTAGGGAGACGGAGACAGAGAGAAAGAGAACGGAAGAGGAATTGGTTTCGCAGAAAGGAGGAGGAACTGATCGAGGTTCCCTTCCCTTCCGTCGTTGTCTGCGTATGACTTGACCTTTTCCGAATGATTATTAACAAGAGCAATGTTGAGCACTTGCATAAAGATGGTAATTTGCGCAAGAGTTCTCAGCCGTCTGATGGTGCTTGAATTTGATCATGGGGCTTGTCATTAGGTGGGTGAGTTGAAAATCATGTGCGGATTCTGGATTAATCGTGTAAAAATTACTTTGTTTGATACTGATGCAGTTGCATATTATCTCTCTTTTCGCCCATTATCTGCCGTCTAAGTCTAAGAACTCGGCGCCTCTTTGCAACAAAACTCGTTTATCGTTTCGTATTTCGTTACATGATTATATGATGTTGTACTTGTCACCAAAAACCAATCCACCCACCTAACTCCTCCTGTAGGTCGTTGATCAGGCATCAACCGGATCGGATCGGATCGTTTTTCCGATACAGAGGATCCGAATTCAACCCGATACCTGCGGATATCTAAAACATAGATTTTAATTGAATCATTTATATGCTTCGGGTATCCGTTTAAAATTGATACAAATTTCAATTAAATCTAATTATAAAAAAAAGGGAAAATATATGATACCGGAAAGACATGATACCAATCAAAGCACCCATATTGTGAATTTGATGAGTACTAATGTAACAATTTCTGGTCACGTATCATTTTTTTTGGCTAAGTACCTCGTCATTTCGTCTGCTCCCAGGTGGTTGATGACTCAGAGGCTGAGGTGGAGCTCCCTGGTGTAGCGCAACCCGGCTTCTCCCTGCAGGAGATGATATGCTCATCTTTGTAGACGGCGGACCTGGTTGATCTGCAATAACTGAATCAGAGAACCCGGGGGTGTTTACCCGGTGAGGTCACTCCGATGGCTAAGTCAACACTTAGTTGTGAGCTGAAGATGATATTAGAGAATGGGAGAGCTAGAGGGCTGATATTACATTCACTTCTTTTCTCCTCTCCGCCGGTGGGGGGGGGGGTGAGGCCTTTATATACTGGAGTCCTCGTGGGTTTGGTGGAGCAGTTCCTGGATTCCCGCTGTGATGGGACCTGTTTTCGTGTTAGGTGGGGATATAAAGCCACCAACCGGTAATGTTGCCCATTTTCGCCTAAATCGGGGAGTGGGTGAGCTAATATAGTCGTTACAAGTCATAATCCCGTAAAATGCGGGGTACGGTAGTGAGCTCCTCGGGGTTGTCATGCGGTGGTCAGTTTAACTAGGAAGCGAGCTGTCTGTAAGGTGCCAGGCTGCATGGTGGCAAGGTGCCTGTAAATGCTGCATGGTGGCGAGCTGCCTAGTGACGAGGTGCCTGTAAGTGCTGCATGGTGACGAGCTGCCTAGTGGTGAGCTACCTGTAAGTGTTGCATGGTGGCGAGCTACTTGTAAGTGCTGAGCTGTTTGGGTGGCGAGCTGCTTGTAAGTGTCGAGCTGTGTTAGACAGTTTTGTATGCCCTTAGCTTCAATTAGAATGATGTACTTTATGAGTTTATTGTAAAATGAATAAAAGTGCATATTTGATTCATGTTCCCTTGATATGTTTCTGTGTAATACCCTTAAACTGGACACTTATTGAGACTCGTGTTAGTTTAGAATGTTCACAGCCAGTGGGTCAGTCTGGGGAGACCTATCCTGACAAGGCTGACACTGTGGTGCCACCAAG